AAAGTGAGCTCAAGGCCAGCCTGATCTGCATAGCAAGACCGTCTGAAAAAAACAAACAAAAAAAAGTGAATGTAAAATCAATTACAGTAGAGCCAAAGGAGTAATACTGAATCTTTGGAAAAGAACAAGCTAAAAATCTAATCTACTGGCACAGAAAAAAGACCATGACATTCTTTTGTTGTTATTTGTTGAGACAGGGTCTCATTAGGTAGAGTAGCCTGACCTCAAACTTGTGACTCTCTTGTCTCAGCCTCTCAAGTGCTGGGATTATAGGAGTGTACCATCATGCCAAGCCCATGACGTAACACAAACTAAGTGCAACTTGTGCATATATTACTTCTGTTCTCATTTCTAGGCTTAAATTTGTACAAATTATGCATAGGAAAGATATCTGAAAGGTCACTAGACAAAGTACTAAGCCTTGAAACTTCTCTATTATAGCACTGGGATCCTCAGCCTGACTAGGGGAACTTTTACTTCATATATCTGAGGCCATTTTATTGTTACAATATTTAACCTCTTTTAACTGACTTTATCTAGTACAACATGATGTTCTGAAGTATATATAAACATTAAAGATAAACTAAATCTAGCCAATTAGCACATGCATTATCTCAGTCATCATTTCTGTAGTGAACCCATGTAACAACCACTCAGCATATCACATCAGTACAATGTTATTAATTATAGTCACTAAACTACACAATAGAGCTCTAACTCCTAGTTCTTTTTTTTTTTTTTTTGGTACCAGGAATTGAACTCATGACCTCAGGCTTGCCAGGCAAGTGCTTAAGACGCTGAGCTATATTGCTGGCCCCTTTACTTTTTTTAGTTTTTTTAATTCCTACTAATATAAATTTTGTATGAAGTGTCTCCCCATCTAGACCACCCCTCACCCACTCTAGCCCTTGATAACCACCATTCTAAGTCAATGAAGTCAACCTTTTTAGAATCCACATGAGTGAGATCATGCATTATGTATCTGGTTTACTTCACTTAACGTAACATCCTCCAGGTCTACTCATGTTGCTACGTCAGGACTTCCTTCTTTTTATGACTTACTATTCCATTCTGTGTACATACTATATTTTCTTTACCTATTTATTCAATTGTAGAAGCTGTAATAACTATATTAATTGTGTAGTTTCACCAATGTACATATATGTCAGAAATACTACAGCTAAAAAAAAATACTACAGCTTACACTCTAGGATCAATTTATTGCACATCAGTTACAGCATTAAAGAGCTGTTAAAAGATCAAGAGGCTAGGGACAGCACACTGTTAGAGCACCTGCTTAGCAGGTGCAAATCTTTGGGTTTAATGCTTAGCATCACCGAAAGAATTATTTTCTTAACCGCTGAACATCAATAATTCTTCCTGGTGATAGGGCCTGAACTTAGAGCCTCTTTCTCATGTCGTCTACCACTGAACTACATCCCTCAGTTCTTGAACATCAATTCTAATGAAATCCTTGGCAAGAGAAAAATGACACGAAGTGAAAAATTAGAATTTTATTAAAACAAAGCATGATCATACTAGTTTAACCATAAGCCAACCTGAATTCTAGTCAATAAAAACCATTTACATGGGACAGAGTCATGATATGTGCTACGGTTTAGAGCTAAAATGCCTCTCACGTCTTGTGAGTTCAGAGGTGGGGTTTTCAAAAGCAGCTGGATCATACAGGCACTGTACTAACCAATGGATTAAGCCACTGATGGGTCTATAGTGCTAAAGTGAAATGAGGAAGTGGGCCAAGTTGAAGTAGATGCATTACTGAAGGTATGCCTTTGGAGGGCATCTCTCTCTCTTTCTTTTGCTTCCCCTTTTCTCTGATTCCTGGCTGCCAAGGTGAGCAGCTCTCTGACACACCCTTCCACCATGCCGTTTCTGCCTTGGAGCCAGCTGACCATAAACAGAAACTAAAAGTCAAAACAAATCTCAAGTTGTAGTTTTAAGTATTTTTGTCTTAGTGACAAGTCCCCTTGTCACTCCCTAACATCATTATAAAGCTGCTATACCAGTGAAGGACTTTCTACTTCTAGAATTCCTTAATGTGGGAGAAAAATAAACATAACTTTTTGACACATTTCTTTGTTGCTGCTTTTTCAGCTGTGCTTTCCTTTTTTAGTGTTCATGTGTTACTTCAAAAATCAGATTTACCTGGGCATAATGATACATACCTGTGACCCCAGCACTTGGGAGAATTAGGCAAGGGGATTGCAAGTTTGAGGCCACCCTGCGCTACAACTGTAAGTTCAAGGCCAGCCTAGACTGCACAATAAAACCTGATCTTAAAAAAAAAAAAAACAAAGGATTTAAAAAGCAAAATGACCAGGTGTGGTGCTGCACATTTATAACACTATAGTTACTTGGAGAATGAGATGAGAAGGTCACAAATTCAAAGCCAGTGTGGGCAACTTAGACCATGTCTCAGAAAGTAAAATAAAAAGCACTGGAGAAGTAACTCAGTGCTGAGTGTTTCCCTAGCTCACATAAGGCCTTGTGTTCAATCCTCAGTACTGCCAATAAATGGGGGGGGGGGGGAGGCCAGAAAGCAGAATAATTACGTAACTGTAGTAAGAGTTAAATTCACAACAGATTCAAAAAAGTCGGTCACCTGACACACAAAAGAGACAACAGTTCTGAAATATGCCCATCAGTACAGAATAACTACTGCAACTAGATCTACTATTCTTCACAATCTGTCTGGCAAAAAGCAGACCTAGCCCAAGTTTCTCTTCTTAAGTATCTAACTGCCCAAAAGAACACCTCTCTTGTGGAAATAACATTCTACTGCAGCACTTGGAGATCCCACCAAGAAATATGTCTAGTCTGAAATAATTTTTTCTGGAATTAAGAAAGGGCAGCATATCTGAAAGTGTAATTAAAAAAAAAAAAAATAAAGGCTGGGGATATAGTTCAGCAACACAAGCACCTGCCTGGCAAGCGCAAGGTCCGGAGTTTGATTCCTGGTACTAAAAAAATTAAAAAATAAATGAATGAGGTATAACTATGTGCCTTAAACTCTAAATTTGGGGGAAGGAGGGGAGGAAGTATAGATACCATAATTTTATTCCATGTAATTGGACTTTATTGACCAGAATTGAGGTTGGTTTATGGTCAAGTTAGTGTAATCATGGTTTGTTTTGATAATAATTCTAGCCATTCATTTTGTATCATTTTTTTCTTGCCAGGGATTTCATTAAAATTGATGTTCAGGGGCCAAGGAGTGTAGCTCCGTAGTACAGCACATAAGAGAGAGGTCCTGAGTTCAACACCTAACACCCAAGAAAAAAAAAAAAGAACTGATGTTCAGTTGGATTTTGGTGGTTTTAGGATTAAACTCAGTCTTGCCCATACTAGAAAAAGGCTCTAGCACTGAGCTATACAGACAGACTGGATTAATTTTTAAGTTTTAGTTGGGCATGGTGGTACATGCCTGTAATCCCAGCACTTGGGAGGCTGAGACAGGAGGATTGCCGTGAGTTCAAGGCCAGTCAGAGCTACACAGTGAGTTCAAGTCCAGCCTGAATTACAGAGTGAGACCCTGTCTCAAAAAAAAAAGAAAAGCAGTTCTAGCAGGACATGGTGGCACACACCTGCAATCCCAGCACTCTGGGAGGCTAGAGCAGGAGGATCACAAGTTCAATCCCAACCTAGGCTAGTTAGCCGCGTAGTGAGACCCCATCTCTAAATAAAAAATAAAAAAGGGTCGGGAATGTAATTCACTGTGAAGGCCCTGACATCAATTTTCAGTATCAAGAAAAGTAGTTCTTAGGGGCTCACAATTGAAAACCTAAGTTATTTTTTAAACTATTAATCAAGCACTATAAATACACTGGATAAATCTAATTCATCATCTTTTCTTAGAGAAAGACTAAACAAACACTGGATGGAACCTATACTAACTTGTCAAAGTAATTCGCTTGAACAAATTGAAGGTGAAGGTGGATCCACTAGCAAGGCATGGTAGCACTCACTGGAGGATCACCACACGTGAGTTCAAGGCCAGCCTGAACTACACAGCAAGATCCTGTCTCAAAAAAAAAAAAAAAAAAGAAAGAAAGAAAGGGAGGGAGGGAGGAAGAGAGGCAGACAAGCAGATCCACTGAATTAAAAGACAGGAATGCTCACTTTTCTTGTCAATCTATTTACAACTTTCTGTAGTCCAGATTGGCCTCAAACTCAAAGCAATCCTCCTGCCTCAGCCTCCCAAGTGCTGGGATTATAGGCAATCACCACTATGCCCCGTGTTACATTATTAAAAATGATCTAGAGATAACACGCCTGGAATCCAAGCACTTAAGGAGGCTGAGTCAGGAGGATCACAAAAGTTCCAGCCCAGTCTGGGACAGTTAAGTGACTTTTCAGGACTCTAGCACAGGGAGAAAAAAGACAATCTGGGGATGTACATTAGTGCAAAGGTCTCAATTCCTACACAGTACATAGACACACAAAAGGAATGAGGGACTGACACATGATATATACACGTAAAACTTAAAAGTGTTGTATGCATTCCAAAATGATTTCTTTTATACAGAATACCCAGTTAACAGGTGATTGCTTGGGAGTGGGAAAAAGGGGAGAGTGTGGAGTAACAGTTCCAAAGGTAGATTATGGTGATGGTTGTACAACTGTCAATATACCAAAACCTGCTGAATTGTACACTTATAAGTGAGTTAATTTTATGGTATGTGAATTATATTTCAGTAAACCTGTTAAATACCACTGGGTGGGTGTGGTTGTGTACACCTGTGATCCTAGCACTTGGGAGGCTGAGGCAGGAGGATCACTGCAAGTTCGAGGCCCACCTGGGCTACACAGTGAGTTCAAAGCCAGCCTAGACTAAGTAGTGAGACCCTGTCTCAAAAATAGAAACAATAAAAAATAAAAATACTTAAAACTCAATATGATTAACATAAGAATCCCCCAAAATAAAAAAATATCCAGCAATTTCTAAGATCCAAAAAAAGAATGCACCCCAGATACCATACCAATTTTGATCTCCACTTCTCATGACAGAGGAGGCTAAACACAGTTTCTCTCGGATGGACCATGGCTCTGTGGGGCCAGTACTCAGCAGCTTATGTTCTGAAAAAGGAACAAGGTTTAGAGACAACCAATGAAGTTTTACGACCCAAAGAATCAACTAAGAGCCTAATACAAAATATTCCAGTCACTATGATACACATTGTATAAACCAACCCCCAATTGACAAGCCATTCTGCCTCTGTACTTCCTCCTTGCTATCCCATATAAGCCCTAAACCAGCAGAGGTCAGGGCATGATAGTCTAGGAATGATCCCTATCAGTGCCCATCGACGTAAATAAATCTTCCAAATCCTGGGCGTCGATTTGGTGCTTCTGCTTGCCGTTGCACTGGGACAAAATACGCTACTATTCAATAAACTATCTTCACTGGTCGTGGTACCTATTTTTCTGCATGTGAACTAAAGCCAGGGCTTCAAATTCTGCTTTATTCAAAAGTGGGAAAGTCAGATTAAAACAAAGCAGTTATCCCAAAAGGCTTTCAGGATCCGTTATCCCACTTTCAACGCAAGCGTTATTTCCCAAGATTCCAAGCGGCACGCCCCCTGCAGCCCCGCCCTCCCTTGGCATAAACTTGTTTACTTCCCTCAGCCCCTCCCCCCAAATGTCCGAACGACGACAGTTTCATCCGTAAAACGCAGAAAAATGACTGCAATTTCCTCCGAAGATCAAAAAGCTCATGGATCAAAGAATCCACATCGACAGACTTACAAACGTTACAAAACAGAGTGACTCTTTGAAGTGCCGGCCACGCCAACAAATCTACCACTGAACGCCCCAGTTTCTACAGTGCTTTTTCATCTCTTACCCACAGAGCTTTCAACATACAAAGGCTCGCTGAGCTGCTTCTCTCAAACCCTTCTCCCTCCCTGAAACACAAGCGCTTAGACTCACGACGTCGTCGAACACATGTCTTCGGAGATCCTACGACTGTCAGTATAACCACTCTGCCCACTTCCTTGCAGTGTGTCAAAACTATGGTACCTAACTTCGGTTCTACAAAGGCCTTCCATACAAAATCTGTTCAGATACTCACTGCCCGTTCCTGCCGCCATCTTGGCCCCAAAGTCTTCTACGCCTGTAAGAGATAATCTTGCGAGGCCTAACTCTGGGAACTCTGGGAAATAGAGTACAGGCGTTGGCTCGCGGTGCATACTGGGGAACGTAGTTTTTCACCTAAGAGGAACCAAGCAACTTAAACTAGTTATCCTCTGCGCTCCTGGGAAGGAGTGCTGCAACGAAGAACAGGGGATGGCAGCTAGAGCCTCAGTATTTCCTTTAGGCTTTTTAGTAAATAAATGTCTAGGGTTCAAGGAAAAGAGGTGGGAAGAATCCCGAGCAAAACAATCTAAACTCGCGACATTAGGTATCGCGGACACACGTTAGAGGTCAAAGGGCAAGCTGAAGCAAACGGTCTTCCAGTTTCCCAGCCCCCTTTCCTTACACTGATTGGTAACTGAAGAGTTCGCTCTCTGATTGGCCGAAGGAACTCAGCGCGTAATTTAAAACATGGTATCAGGAACAAAGCTTCACCTCGTGGGCGGAGTTGTGCTTTCCCGCAGCGAAGGTCCAAGTCCTTCCCGCGGGTGTAAGCTGGTACCAGAGAATCTGCGCGTGTCTTGTCCTTGGGTGAGTGTGAGGCTGGACTGGGCTGAACCCAGGTAACCAGCTTTTGCTCGCGCGGAATGAGACTTTGAGAAACGGAGCTTTCTTCATAGCTGTGTTGTCAGTGAGCATTGGGGTGAGAGAGGGATCCTGACACCAGCTCCATACAACACTGTGGGCGAGGCACCCTACCTGGAGCGTTACATTCTGTGTTTGAAGCCAGATTTCTCTTGGCTCCTTTTCGCCTTCAGCAATTGGCCTTAGACTGGATTCCTTTCCATCCTCCTCTTTGCCCATAATCGGAAGGAACGGTGATGCAATTTAGACAGGGGCCCGGGTATCCTAGGCCAAGGGCACTGTTTCTTACCTATAATTTCCAGCTCATTTTGTCCATTGGTGTCTTTCTCCCTACCTACTCTTGTCTCCTTATAGACGTAAGACGCCGCAGCTGTCATGTCTCAAGGGATCCTTTCTCCACCTGTGGGCTTGCTCTCTGATGAGGATGTCCTCGTCTCGCCCATGTTTGAATCCACAGCTGCAGATTTGCGGTCTGTGATGCACAAAGAGCTGCTGTCAGACTCCTCCGACATCTCCACCTCCCTGGAAGACAAGCAACAGGTAAAGGACTTGGGGAGTGGCTTGAGGGCAGAAAGTGATAGTTCTCCATGCAGGGTATGAAATTAAAGACCAGTAATCCTGGAGATCAATTCAAAATTAAAGGCATGACAAGTACAAAACGTAGACTTGTGTACCCATAAGAATATTGTTTGCATTAATGAAATAATGAAAATTTCATGTACAGCTCTCAGTTAATCTCTGAGAGAAGGATGACTGTATCTCTCCACTGTGAAGCTCAATTATGTTAAATAGTTTGTACAGAGCTGGAGGATGTAGTTCAGTGGTGGAACATGTGCTTAACATATGTGATGCCCTGAGTTCAAACCCCAGCTCCACACATAAAAGCAGTAATTTGCACAGCGTACAATCATGTGTAATGAACATTCGGGTTTTAATAATGGAAGCTTCCTTTCTTTCTGTGAGGCTCTGGTTTGTCAGCTACAGTATTATTGACATTTGGGGCCAAATTCGTTGTTGTAGGAACATGGCCTGTGCATTCTAAGATTAGCACAGACTGGGTGTGGTTGTGCATTCCTATAATCCTAGCACCCAGGGAGGCAGGAAGATTGCAAATTTTAGCCCACCCAGGGCAATTTAGTGTCAAAATTAGGAAATTTTCAAATTTCCTAATATGAATTAGGTTGTTTCAAAATTAGGAAATTTGAAAAAAGGATTATGGATGTAGCCAAAGTGAAGGCTATGGGTTCGATTCCTAGTATGTACTAGAGGGGGACAGGGGAGTATTTAGCACCGCTTCTGACCTTTACCCACTAGATGTCAACAATATCTTTCCACTTATGACAACTCAGTGTCCTCTGAGGGAAGAAGTGGCCCTGTATTTGACTATATGCTAAACATTAACATACATTGTCACATTTTTTTCCTCTTTCACAGTTTCTCTAAGATATTTATAAGAGTTTTAGTTGGGTGTGGTGGCCTATAATCTCAGCCCTCAGGAGGCTGAGGCAGGAAGATTTCAAGTTCAAGGCCAGCCTGAACTGTGTAGTGAGACCCTGCTTCAAAAAAACAAAAAAAATCACTGGGCGTGGTGGTATACACCTGCAATCCCAGCACTTGGGAGGGCTGCCTGTAATCCTAGCACTTGGGAGAGCTGAGGAGGGCTGAGGCAAGAGGATTGTTGCCAGTCTGAGGCCAGCCTGGGCTACACAGTGAGCTCAAAGCCAACTTGAACCACATAGTGAGACCCTGTCTTTAAAAGACCAAAAAAAAAAAAAAAAAAAGAAAGAAAGAAAGAAAGAAAAAACACCTAAGAATAAATACATAAGGATTTCTCTTAGGAATTTATAAATTTCCATGAGAGCAGAATCCTTGATAATGTCCTTCATTATGAGCCTGGTTCTTACAACCCACTTTCAGGAGTTCCTGAGCTTCCTCAGCTTTTTTTTTTTTTTGTCTTTTTGAGACAAGGTCTCACTGAGCAGTTCAGGCTGGCCTTGAGCTCACTCTGTAGCCCAGGCTGGTCTCGAACTCACAATGATCCTCCTGCCTCAGCCTCCCCAGTGCTGGAATTACAGGTGTGCACCACCATGCCCGGCATTCCTCAGCATCTTGAACATAAATCCAATTGAAGTAAAGTTCCTGGGCCATAGTAGGCATTCTCTAAATAGCTGTTGAATGAATGAGATGGATGATAATGCTAGTATCAGTCTACAGATGAAGAAACTGAAGCAAAGAGAAAATGGGAGTAGATATTCAAGATCTCACAGTTAAACTTTAGTACTGGCACACACCTCTAAACCCAGCACTTGGGAGGCTGAGGCAGAAGGATTACCACAAGTTCAAGGCCAGTTTGAATTACATAGCAAGACCCTATCTCAAAAAAACCAAAACAAACAAAAAAATCTCGGTTATTAAATGATGACTTAGGACTCATTCAGGTGTGTCTGTCTCCAGGCTGCTTAACTATTGTGCTTAAATGTCACAGATGCCTTTTCATACAAGTCAATCAGATAATCAATGTGACAAGCCAGTTTACAGAATACTGATGAGACAGGGAAGAGTAACAAAGGAGTTAAATTTCTGTGGGTTAGAATGATTATGGAATCACTGTGCTGACACATACCTGTAATCTCAGCATTTGGGAGACTGAGGCAGGAAGATCACTTCAAGTTCAAGGCCAGCCTGGGCTATATAATGTGTTCAAAGAACCAAAGAGTAGCTGCACAGAGATATTAGAGGTGGAATGGAATAATGTCTGAATGATTCCTTAGGGATTGTGCTATTTGCCCATTTGCTCAGAGGTAACTTCTGTGAGATTAATCTGTGCTTCTTTGCTGAAATTCTGCCATAGATTCCTTGTGAGAACAGTACGGAGAAGGTGAAAGTGTACCTGAGGGTCAGGCCCTTACTACCTTCAGAACTGGAACGACATGAGGATCAGGTGACTGTCTGAGGAGGGAGGATTTAAGGAGAATGAGAAAGTACAGAAGAGACTCCCTAGGAATGTTCCCTTCTGTGATTACTGTATTTTTCCTCTTCCAGGGTTGTGTCTTTATTGAGAATATGGAGACTCTTGTCCTACAAGCACCCAAGGACTCCTTTGCCCTGAAGAGTAATGAGCGGGGCATTGGCCAAGCCACCCACAAGTTCACTTTTTCTCAGGTATGGAGGAACTTGTCTGTGAACGAGGGACCAACACGTAGGAACAAATTTATCTCCTCTTTAGAGAGAAGACTTGTATTGACTGGAAGGAATTTCTTTATATATATACATCTATAATTTGGAGGTTCCTTATATACTAGTGGACAGTACTTATGTGTATTAATTCCCAATCATTCTGTTGTTATTATCACTATTATTCCTATCTTCCTGTCCAGGATACTGAGACTCAGTGAATATTGCAGAAGCCATTGGGTTAATCAGTGGTAGATCCATCCCCAAAGCCTGGGCTTTTGATCATAATATTGCCCCCTTGTGTGTGTAGCATCAGGCTTAACGCATAGCACTTCTTACATATGCGTTGATACTGATGAAAGATGAACTAGCAGAGTGACTGGGCCCTCAGTTTTAGGAACAGCTGGAAGCAAGGAAAGAGGTAGCTGCTTGCATGGCATTGAGCACCAGGGGTATATATGCTGGCTCTGCACAGGAGGCAAGTGAGAGGTGAAATATGGGGCTCAGAGAAACTGGGTCTATTTCTAGATCTTTGGGCCAGAAGTGGGACAGACATCCTTCTTCAACCTGACTGTGAAAGAGATGGTAAAGGATGTGCTCAAAGGGCAGAACTGGCTCATCTATACATACGGAGTCA